GAGGGTCAAATTGTCGCGCGCGTCACATAATATTTGCGGATTACTAAACGTTTGTTGTAAAATACGATTATTGATTTATGGCCATATTGGGACAAGTAGCTGGACATAAATCACGTAATTTGCTATAGACGATTGACATACTAATGCACCCATTTCAAATTTAATAGGTAGCCAATATATCTATGCCTTCTGTTTGCTTGACTGAGGTTCTCAGAGATTCAATATCAATTTCTACTATGACCGGACTCAAAATGAACACGGAATTTTACTTTAGTTCATCGTTCTTGATCTCGTCCAGCTTAATTCTTCAATTTGAAAGTGATACATTACTACACAAGCACTCTCAATGCATGGATAAAGGACGACACGCAAACAATGTGCAGAAATACTGATGATCACACCCTGCATTAATCATTTTTGCGCGCGCGCCGAAATTGTACAAGAGAAATGCATTATCTTTTCACACGATATAGAATAATAAGTTTTTATGCGTAAGCGCACTTAAAACGTCAAAAAAAAATATAATAGGCACATAAAAATCTTATTTAAGACGTTAAACCTTCGTGTTCCACTTTTGAAACTGAGAGCTTTTTTATTTTTCATGAAAGAAGCATTTAAAGGCACAATATAAACTACAAAGGGCCGAGTAGAGTCGGCTATTCCATAAGGTGCAGATTACCGGGGGCAGTGGGCAACACGCGATCATCTTCGATTGCGATCGCAAGATTAACGGCCCGCGGTGTGACACCGCCTTAATTACTCACACCATAATCCTTATCGATCGAATGCCTTTATCCTTTGGTTTTTATACCGGCTCCGAACGATAAAGTAAGGGAAACGAGCAAATATTGCGCGTCCTTATTGTGGGAAATGAGTTTTTAATTTCAAACTAGCATTTAATTAAGTACTTACCTAGGTACTCCTGGTTTCGCACGCGTAAGTTGAATCGTACCTAAAGCTCAATCTCGTTCATAACTAACAGACAACTTAGAGACAGACTATATATAAATAAGTAGGTATTGCAACTTGTTATGAATTATAAGAAAATCCAGAAACTAAGGCGAATCTTTTACAATACCTATTTATCTAAACATTTTTGTTAACGTACGATAGGTATCTCTCGAAAATGGGAAATCTTTAAAAAAAACTCCTAGAAAACCGTTTCACTAGGCAACTGGCTGAAATAAATTAATTGAACATCAGTAAAATCAATTAACAGTTCCCACCGATATGTGGAAGATTGCCGTAGTTTTTCAATTGAAACAATTAAGGTCATTCGAGCAATCGCCAATCGCGATAGAGGCGTTAGTCGAGATATTGCACAACACTAGCTGCACTCAGACATGGTCAATTTCATATGGTGGATGGATTACCCGGGTGGATTAGGAACAACATTAGGAGGAACCGTGAAATCTCTTAAATAATCCTTTAGGTACTAAATAAACTCATATTGAAAAAATTCAGACCTTTTTATGTTTATAGATATGGATAACAAACTTGAATAACATACACCATTGAAACTTTTTAGGCACCTAATTACGCAGTCGGTATTAATCTCATTACTAAGTTCAAATTTCCAATCCGTACAATTTGAAGGTATATTGGTACACTACCTACCCTGCTTCATATTAAATATTTTAAGAGCGGAAGAAAAGCATATTATGTCGACCTTAAAGATCTTACCATTTATCAGTGCAATCGTGCGTCTAATCTTGGCTTAGGCAACTTGATCAATTGGCTGCCTTCGTCATTATTAATTTTATTTAAAAACGTATATCATTCCGGTTTAGGCCATTTTCATCGCATCTACCTTTATACAGAAGCGTGGTTAGTATGGAAATCTATCCGACAAGCTATCTCACATCGAGATCGTATCTGTCTGTCATACAAGTCGCTAATTTACTTCCGTCACTAATGGAAACTGCGCTATGAGATCGAAAATCACATTAACAACGTCTCTCCCTTGCACCTCCAATAAAATTATGCTCATTTCGTTACTACATTTTTTAAGATATCATCAGCGCTGTTTATTGATAAATCACGGAAGCCACGGATACAAATAGGTTCGTGAGATGCAAATGGTGCTTTACAAAATCAGATCTTTAATTTAGAAAGCAGTTGTAAACAAATGAATACGAATGTAGCGTTATGTAGCGTTATATGTCTCGTGTGGCCGACAGGTGGCGACGCCAGTTAAGAGTGGAGGCGCATTAGCCACCCGAGTGCTACTTATGGTACCATTCCACTGCAGGCAATCAATTTCGAGCGGCTCTCTTCCACCATTCATTCTAATTATCGAGTTCGCATCGGCCGGCGATCGACCGTTATCATTAACATTCATAAAAGCGTCGAATCCGTTTAATTCATCAATTATTGTCTCGGAGACGCGTATAATGCTGTGGACATCTGTAGTTGTATGAGGTTTATCTGGTTCATTAATCTGGTAGCGAGCGCGTGCTGATGTAGATTAATGTGGTGGCGCGCGATGGTATCGGGACGGAGGACGACGGATCAGCTGCACGCGACCTCTGCACGCTTCCGAGAGGACTGTCTGAAACAATAACAACTATTATAGAACATTCTATATTTAAATAAGAAGACAAAGACAATTTGCCCTCCAAAAAATGTATCTCGTAGCTACGAAAATACTCGGCGTAGGTTTGCAGACGGTACTCCATACCATATACGAGGAACGCTAAAAATACTAACAAGCATTGATATTTCATGTAAGCCTATTTATAACTAATTACTCAACGGTTGAAAATATTACGAGTACTAAGGTACTTGAATGTACTTATACAGGTAATTTTTGTAACTTGAACATGATGTTATGCAAGAATTTTATATGTTTACGCCATCCAGCCACCTCTAGATTGGATCTCGATGAAACACGGCTAATTAAAATGATCTCCGTATGGTTTACATCTCACGGCTTATCGGCGAGCTTCGCGACACAATCACACTTCCCTGAGGGGATCGTGCCTCCACACCAGTTCTCCGGGGACAAGAATCCGACATATTTAAGAAACCACCATTAATTATCCAAATAATCGATCGCAGTCGTTAGGTGATTTATCTAGCGTCGATAAGATTTTAATGAAGTACTTTGATTGGGCGCGCACAGACAGTCCGGACAGTGTTATCTGACGGACGATAGCTCGCGCACCATTGGCTTCCTATACCTATCAGCGTATTAAGTTATTAAATTAAAAAGAAATTTCATGCCTCACCCAGACAATAATGGACCTTAAAACGGGGCCAGTTAGATGCGTTTCACGTCGCAGGACCTAATTAACAAGGTGGATCATTCAGATTAGAAATTGGTAGATATCGGCACGTCGTTCATTGTGGAAACTACTCACGATACTACCGTGCGATAAGATAAATTGAGTTGGAAACTTTTTATTGATAATGTCGAGGCGGCGGGTGGCTGCGCGGGCTCGGTACAAGAATGGGGACAATCTCGTTAGAGAACCGCGGGGTGACTTCTCTGCCTACCAAACATATACAAACACGAACAATAAGCATATTTTATATTAGAAAGTATTGTATTTTATCCATTTCATTGAAACCTGCAGCAGTTAAACAATAAAAATAAATATTACGGAATGCAAATTAACGCACATCAAAATTTCTGTTGTCGCTATAAATCCTTTGACCGAACGTAAGCAGTAGCATGGCTTAAAATGTAAATGTGTACACATAATACGAAAACGTTAGACACAATGCCACAACATAGAACGAAATCATAAGTAAGGAAATCTTGTTTACGATGCTAGAAAAACAATTGCCTTACTCTATGGAGATTACCAGGTTCTAGGTCTTAAGATTTAAGTAGATATTTATTTGTCATATTGTATTTATAATTAATTGCCTTTTTATGAACTACATATGTTTTTCTCGCAGAAAAAACCTTATTGCAAACTTTTAAATACATCATATATTTTCCAGTCGTGTGTGTATCTGAGTAGAATAGAGTTTATTTCCACGTTACAATTTAAGAAGGTAATTCAATCTAATCTGATTGACATCCAACGCGATCTAAAAAGCAATCATTATTGGAACAGATAGATAAAATTGGAAATAGCTGGCCCGTTACCCGCATAATGTGAAGCGCGTAATTTTTATTTAAATGAGATAAAAAATCTATCATCACAACCCTATAATCGAGTTCGGATAATTCACAGACCGGTTGAGCCGCACTTAATCGAACGTTAACTAAAGTTTAGTGTAGGATTGACGATCGTCTGTTTACTAATTTAGTGCATTTTATTGGAACTCTTTGGTTGCGTGTGAATAATAATGAACTCCCGTCGCCGTAGTGTTAGATCTCGGGGATAATTAACGAAAAGTTAGTAGAACGTGTACAGACTAATGATCGGGAATAGGTTCATTTGCATTAAACAAACGACATTGGTCTTAATTACTGGGAAAATTACAAATTAAAGAAAAATTAATGGGACACCCGATCGGGTTGACCTCTCGCCGAGGTTACACAATGGTAATAACGTCGGAACCTTATGCTTAAATTAAGAATTCTGAAGCTTTCTAAATGTTATTTTTAAATTACGGATTCGTGTTTATTACGAAACAAAAACATGGGCTTGTTTTTTTATGCTCAGATAAATGGAAAACAAATTAGGCATAAGTAAAATGGATGCTAATTAACAGTTGTATGTGTCTATTGTTATATTATAAAGGCACTGTGAGTTCTTCGACTGAATCTGAACTTTAAATAATTGCAATTAATAAATAAACTTTCAAAACTAAACCTACTAAGGTCCCAGAGTCCTGGGTTCGATTCCCAGATGGAGTACGATACGAGCGATGTTAAAGAATTCATTTCAGTTTTAGCAATTTTGCCAATTATTTATGCAACTGAAACCTCAAAATTTATAAAAGTCAACTGACAGCAATAACACACTTTGACAAATTGTCAAAAAACGTAAACAACAAAACACAATTTTAATTTAACTTGAGATTTGTGAACATATATCAATATGTTGAAATCGCGTTTCAACCTAGCCCAAAGCCAGACCGCCCCAGAGGCGGGCGAGGAGCATGTAGCAGAAGACACTGCGGCAGACGAGCAGCAGCAGTATGACGAGCAGTTGGCTGGCGAGGGCGTTGTTGAAGAAGAAGAGAAGAAGATCGTCTACCCAGTGAGGGTCCTGAAAAGAGCTGAGGTTAGCATACGGCTAAGTCTGCTGGGGAAGACTGCGGAGGGAGACGGGTAAGTATTTACACTTACATTTTCTTGATAAAACTTTATAAGTTAACACAGTGAATATGCTATCACCTGTACAATGTTTTGTGTGCATTTAAGTTTAAAATAAATAAATATAAGTGGAGGAAGATTCACAAAAGCAAAAATAATAAATCAAGGGGCGTAGTTTTGGAGCAGTACAATTTCAATTCGAATACCAATGCGCCTTAATTTTACAGAAACTGCATGTAGAGTGCAGAAATCATAATTGTAATGAACATTTCTATTACAGATACACGTACTTAAAAGCGGCTTGCACAGGGATGAGTTTAACTGATATCTCAGCAGTAAAACACTTTAAGCATCTCCAGTTTCTGGATGTATCAAACAATAACTTAGACCTAGACGCCCTGCAAGCCGCAACGGAGCTACCCTATCTTGTGCTCATACATGCAGATCACAATGCTTTATATTCTGCTGCACTCAGAAAAATGAAGTATCTGCAAGTTATCATCATGAATAACAATAAAATTTCCACTGTCCATGACGTTTACCAACCAGAACTGAGCACACTAGAAGTCGGATACAACAGGATACATCGTGTTTTCTTCACCAACCGAATGCCAACTATCAAATGTTTAGATTTTAGATACAACCTCATCGAGGATATTTCCGACTTTGATTTTCCCAACTTGGATAGTTTATACTTGGCTGGTAATAAAATTAAAGCCCTCGATGGAATAGAGAGATTGGTAAATCTGAGAATATTGCATGTGCGGAATAACCCAATAAAGTTGCTGAATGGATTTGATGAAGGGCTGAAGAAACTGCAGTATATCAATTTGAGGAACTGCAAAGTTGCTACACTTAGGCAAGTTAAGAAGTTACGGGTAAGTAATTTGGTACATTTACTATAATTTTATGTTCAGCAAGAAAAAATACCGATTCGAAATCCAAATTTCCTATTTGGTTAACCATTTTAACCGACTTTGTTACAGGTGCTCACTGCCTTAGACACCCTTATCATGAAGGGTTGTCCGTACATGGGTGGCACGGGGGAGGAAAATGCAGAAGTGGGGCAAGAGGAAGAGGACGCAGAGATACGAGTCGAAGTTCTGGCAACACTACCACGGCTGAAGAGGATCAACAAAGGAGTTATTACTCCTGAAGAAAGGTAGGAACTTAAATTTACAATTTTTTTATTTTAACTTAGATCGTTCACCAAACACTAAGTACAGGAATACCCATAAATGGTTCGTCGACATCACAACGACAGTGAAGACGAAATTGAACTAACTCTGTAATCATTTTAAGACTCGTTAATGTTTCAAGAAGTTTTCAATATTAGCAAACTTTGTTTTCGCAGATACAGTACAGTCAGTATCTGTTATCAGTAGTACATTCGTGACAAAGTGGTCAAAAAGTTGACAACACGAACTTATTCAAGACGTGTTGCTACTTTGAATGTCACTAACTATTTGACGCTGACTGTACCACGGTACATACTGCTCATGCAGTAATAGGAATAAGTCTAGAGATGCAAGAACTAGAACTTATTCTTGGTTGATTTATATTTTTTTTTTATTGCAGAACTGAAGCTAAAGACCTAATGACTCAATGGCTTGAAGAAGGTGAAAAGGAAGAAGAGGAAATAGAAGACGAGCACCATGAAGAAGAATCAAACTTGGATGAATAACGTAAACAGATCTTCTAACAACAAATATATTTTAAGGTTTTTGTATGTATTACTTATGTTAAAGCTTCTTTTAATACACATTATAGGTATAAATCTGTCAACAAATGCTTTTCAATTGGACATACCTACAAGTATTTCTTATAAAATACCTATTGTAAATAGTTATATAAATTATACATGAAAATACTAAAGGCACTTACAAAATATATATTCCAACTGCCTCAATTGACATAAACTGGATTTAAAAATAGACTGGCAGTAAAACTGATACTGAATATAAAGATTTTATTTTATAGCAGTCAGAAGCAATTTTGAAGTTGTAAAATAAATATCTGGAATCGATTCACATAGTCATTTACAAAGAGGGCACTAATATTGTTAATAACACAGAATAAACAGTCTATAAACTGTTCCACAAGTACCAGACGATGGCATGATGGTCTTAATTATAGAAATCATGCATAGTTGATTTTAAATCGAGTTAGTTTTAATAACTTTCTTCATATAACACAGGCTCTCAAAGTAAAACAGCTAAGGAAACAGTTACTATGTCTAGGCTGACTGAATGCTACAGAAATGTGGATGTAAATAGGTTCAAAGATTGAGAAAAATATCCTATTTTCCCAAATATTATCTTGTTTTCTTTAACTGTGGGTGGTAAGTAGTTCATTCTTTATAAGCTGATGTATGTTTTCTTCATATTGTACAATCGCCAGTTTATTTTGGTAGCAAAACAGCGCCTATCGTAATTACTTAAGATGCCGCAGTTTTTGACTTGATTTGCTGTCGTCCGTGATACAAAAGTTAGTGCTTAATTATAGTAGTGTAAAGGCAAGGGTTTTGAAGTAACTGTAATCTGTATTTATTGTGTAAAGGTCAAGCGTGGTGTCAGAACGTCGCTCGCGCTCCACCGTTGCAGTGAAATTGTTCTTATTGTGGCGCCGCGCCCGAGGGCCAGTGTTCTACGCGATGCGCCGCGCCACCTCCCGGCTCACTTTAGAAAAGCGATATTTTAGCGACAGCCTACATGATTAATTTATAGCTTCGGAACAATATTCCTGCGCAGAGCCGGCTAAATCCGATTTAATATGGAGATAACTTGATTTATAGGATACTGATCTAGATAGATCTGTTTCATTTGAGACCCATTTCTTTTTATTTTTCAGTGTGGTGTTATGTGCGGCGTATTTGAGTAACTTGGTGAGTAAAACCATAATTATTACTAGAGGACTCTATTACTTACATTGCTCTAAAGTTTACGATTGACTTTTTATGTAATCTATCACAGTTCAATTAATATTGTATTAACTTACTACTAATATATATATATATAACTAGCTGACCCGGCGAACTTCGTACCGCCTTAGCGTAGAGATTTTCTTAATATTTTTTTCCGTAAGAACCATCCTTGGACTTCCACAAACATTTTAAAAAAAGAATTATCGAAATCGGTTCAGCCGTTCACACGTGATGCCGTGACAACGCGAAACGGGTTTCATTTTTATATATATAGACTATTTACTCTTGCTTACCGTGTAAAAATCTTTCTAAATGTGAACAATGGACGAGTATAATATTAACTTTGGCGTTTACTGCCTTTTCCCAGCCATATCCTAAGCCTGCGCCGCGCGATCATTTCCTGGCGACAAAATCTCCCGATAGCATCAAACCCCCATGTCCTTCGCAACGTCCCGATATAAATCAACCGTAATGCACCTTAAAAGCAACTAAGACCCTTTAAAGTTCATTTAAATAAGCTATCAACACCGCACCCGAGTTTAATGAACACGAATCTCCAATAAAGCACAGGAAAATAATAATAGCACACAGCTAAACCCACTTTACCGACACGTCTCATTTGAATAAAGTAAATTACATTCGAATTCTAAAAAGTTGCCTGCAATTAATTAAACGAGCATTCCTTAATTATCTATTAAAATAATAGTAAGATTTAATTGGGACTTTTAAACGGACACGCAAAATAATTAAGTGATCAATTAACAGTACACGACGATGTGTATCCAGCGGCAGCCTTATCTACTTCCATCAACAACATTGTTCAAACAAAGAATAAATACGTCTACCGCAGACCGATTATTCTGCCTATGACTTGAACTGGGTTAAGCTACGTGGGCTACGAGGATTTTTTTGATTGTCGTTGACAGCTATTTTCAGCTAAATGTCGATATTGTATTACCTACGTAAAGCTAAACATTAAACCAGTGTGCCTACCATGAGTTTACGTTAGGTGAGCTCGCTAGCGAATACGTCAAAAAATTATATGAAGATTTTATTTCTTGAAAGTAGCCGCTAGGGGCGCTGCACAATATGTCATACATTTAAATGTCATTTTTTACGCAGTCGCTAGCGAGCACACCTAACGTAAACTCATGGTAGGCACACAGTTTTCAGAATGTCTGAAAACGCAGTGTTTGGCAAACAAATCTACTTTAGGTTTATTTGCGGTGGAATGAAAAGCGGCTGAAAAGACGAACTTACTGAAAGAACATTATGAAAAAAAAGTGTTTAAAGACAATATCGAGAAACAAAAGTAATCGTTAAAAATATTTAATATTTTTAAATTGATAGGTCGCGTCGACATCTATATGCGTAGGTAGAACAAGCAAAGACCTCTCTTATTCGTTTATCTTTGCCAATCGCGCAATATTCTGTGCGTGTAGCGCCGGGAGTTGCGTGCGCGCCGAATGTTCGTAACGCAACGTAATAGCCTGATGATGAACGATATATTACCACTGCTTGTCCGCCGCTGCCGCGCCCCGTGGCTTCAATTAACACTTAATATAATTAAAAATATCAGATACAATCTTCTAATAAAGTCATATTAATTAAAACTTCTAATATGTACATTTTATGTTCCAATGAATACCTAATCGTGCTCGTTGCATCACTATCGGATAGAGATATCGTGAGTCAAGGGTCCTATGCCACCCATGGTTACAATAAAAATCGCTGAAATTATACGGTGTGTACATACGGACGGTGAATTATCGCGTCGATTAGTATAATTTCGTTAGCGTTCGGAGCCGGCGCGGGCGACGCCGCGGAGCGCGGTGTTGTCCTCTAATGCGGCGAATGCTTGTAGCTATTACCCTTATCGCTTTTTTCGTTGTCATTAATGATTGTGTCCATAAACTCTGGGGTCAACCGCTTCATTAAAGAGACCCGTGTGTACAGAAAATATCCAAATATCCATCCTTATTCCCATTGATGTTTATAAACATGAAATATTTTATTCCTAACGCTATGCTACTCGTGAGTGTAATCGGTGCAGACCATTCCCACGGCAGGTAAACACGGCCGCTCTCAATTTGATCACAAATCATATAGTTTAATGATTTAATCACAAGAATACGCAAGATCGTACCTATAACAAGCTTTAAGCTAACAACATTAAAATTGTATTACAGGTATAAAAATAAACGGTTGAATAGTTAATATTTAACGACAGAAAAAATATATATATTGGTCTGCGAACTAATTATGTGAATAATAGAGTTGTTTAACGTGCCCGCTCATTACACACGTAACTTGTAATTGCATTGGTATTTTCTCATGCAGCCGCTTATTCGATGTAGATTTAAAATTACCGACTAGGCCGCACCCAAAATTGCATAGCGCTATAAACCGATGCGTATTGGACGATTAAGGCGATTAGAGTCCTCAATGACCTTGAGCGTTTGACCTTCACGCCGCGAGCAACACCCGCGTACCCCGCACCAAAAACTCCGATTTGACACCGATCAAAAATACACGGGCATAGGTAGATACAGAATAGAAGCTCTTTCTTCANCAGTTACGATGCAGATAAGTGTGCGTTGCAGTACGGAGTTACACACAAATAATGACCGCCTCGAGTTGATACGGTTACGATCCCTTTCCGGGTTGATAAGTGTCCTGCGTCCCTAAGAAAGACTACAAAAAATCAGTCACTCGTTATTTTTATAAAATTTGAATTGATATTACACGTTATAAATACCGGTATGTAGCAGTAACGGTAACGTTATGCATTAGGCACAGTTATCAGTAGATACGGCCTACAAAAAAATATCAAAATTCATAGTTTGAGCTTTATGACTCAAGCATTAACAATCAATATCAATTACAATAATTGCAATTGATTTTGTAATTTTATGTGGTTATATAAAAATTATATGGACAAAAATGGGTGTAATAATACCTTGTAAACCGCTAGCATTCTAAATTACAACAAATACAGGATTGTTTGCTATAATAAATCATATACGCCCGTATTCACAAACGATGCTTGCTTAAGTGAAGCAGCAAATCGAGCGCACAGCGTTGAATAGAGCTCTGTGATTGGTTCGTGTGTCACCCTCATAGTAATGTTTGTGAATATTGGCGTTAGTATAGTGTATTAGTAAGTAGGTAATATATTTAACTTTAGTTTGTTCAAATATCTACGAAATCAACTTTCAAATATCGAAATATCATTAAAACGTATTTATTGTATAAATCACATAACGTTTCGCTGAGAAACATTTCATTAAAGTAAAAATACCGTTATTATAATAACGTTATTTCGTAACGTTACCGGAACGAGTAATAAAATTTGGTAAGTCCTCCATTAACTGTCACTAAAGCCCGGTCTCTGAGCACGTAGAATTTTGTCCATTGACCCCAAGCTACCCATCCTTATCGCTCGCGCGTAATTATGTTGCTGTCGCGCTCGCACACTCACTGCGGCCGCCCGTCGCATAGTCGCGACAGCTATATAATTACGCGCGAGCGATAGGGATGGGTAGCTTGGGGTCAATGGACAAAATTCTACGTGTTTAGCGACCAGACTAAACCCAACTCTATTATCCAATGTACAACTAAAAACCAAATAAATAAATAAATACTAACTAACAGTCTTCTCTTGTAGTGGCACGGTGGTGTCCCTGTATATGACGTCATACTGCTGCGGCGGCGGCAGCATTTTCTCGCCTTCTTCTGGTGACGTCACTTGCTTCGCTTCT